CCTTCCCTACCCTTCCCTTCCCTTCCCTTCCCTTCCCTACCCTTCCCTTCCCTTCCCTTCCCTTCCCTTCCCTTCCCTTCCCTCCCCTCCCCTCCCCTCCCCTTCCCTTCCCTCCCCTTCCCTCCCCCTTCCCTCCCCTTCCCTCCCCTTCCCTTCCCTTCCCTTCCCTTTCCTTCCCTTCCCTCCCCTTCCCTCCCCTTCCCTTCCCTTCCCTTCCCTCCCCTTCCCTTCCCTTCCCTACCCTTCCCTCCCCTTCCCTTCCTTCCCTTCCCTTCCCTCCCCTTCCCTCCCCTTCCCTTCCCTTCCCTTCCCTTCCCTTCCCTTCCCTTCCCTCCTCTCCTCTTCCCTCCCCTCCTAGGACGGACCAGTGTCATCCTTGAAGGCCACACTCCCCTGAGGTCAGCTCTGCCTGGCCTTCGTTAGTGTCTGAGAGAAAGGGGGGGGGTTATGGGGGCGTCACCCCCTTGCAGCCAAGGAGGAGGGAAGGGGGAAGGGAGGGAAGGGGTGTAGGAGACACACACCACAGCCTTGGCAGGAGGAAGGGATTGAAAGGGAGATGAACAATTTGAATTCAATGAACAAGGAGGCATTTTCAAAAAGGTTGATCTGGCACAAGTTAAGCAAAGATACTGTTCTTCATGAGTGATAACATGTGTTTGCCTCTTGACACTTTTATACACGAAGAAACTAATCACACATAACCTTAATCATCAGTTAACTGCTCAATTAAGTGTTCCGGAACTCATTGACACTATACAAATTGACAGTAAGATCATATACGAATTGTCTTCACTCTCAATTCATCTACTGGGAGAAATGTATGAGTATCTGGAACAAAATACTGAGTAATATACTCACTTGCGATCACTGTGTTGTTTCAAGCGTAGGTGTGACAATTATGAATTTCAGCTACCTAGCACGGCCCAATAGCCCTCCTGTTTCCTGTATTCTGTGTTGTTTGATGATTCTAAACTACTCTCATTCGGCCGGTGGGATGGTCACTGCTGGCTGCGTGTCCCCATCTCAACTCTTCACGTCTTGTGGCCCTTTTTTTCTCCTTGTTTAATATCTGCAGAACAAATCTTGACCCATCTGTCAAGGGCGCCTGACAGCTGGGTGGACAGCGCTTCGGATTCGTAGTCCTGAGGTTCCGGGTTCGATCCCCGGTGGAGGCGGAGAAAAATGGGCAAAATGTTTCTTTCACGCTGATGCCTCTGTTACCCAGCAGTAAATAGGTACCTGGGAGTTAGACAGCTGCTACGGGCTGCTTCCTGGGGGTGGAGGCCTGGTCGAGGACCGGATATATATATATATATATATATATATATATATATATATATATATATATATATATATATATATATATATATATATATATATATATATATATATACACACACACCTCTCTACCCTCTCTCTTCTTCTGTTGTATTCGTCTCTGTTTGGACCTGATTCGTGTGTCGTTAAGTCCCGTTGTTCTTCTGTTTTCACTGTTGTTCACTCTCAGACAACTTCTGTTGCTGGGGCCATCTTATCTCACTAATTGTCACTGGTTTCTTGCAGTCTAATTGCTGTTGTGTATATCCTTAGATCCTAACCAGCAATTGGAGAGAGAGAGAGAGTATGTGTGTGTGTGTGTGTGTGTGTGTGTGTGTGTGTGTGTGTGTGTGTGTGTGTGTGTGTGTGTGTGTGTGTGTGTTGTGTGTACTCACCTAGTTGTACTCACCTAGTTGTGTTTGCGGGGGTTGAGCTCTGGCTCTTTGGTCCCGCCTCTCAACCGTCAATCAACAGGTGTACAGATTCCTGAGCCTATTGGGCTCTATCATATCTACACTTGAAACTGTGTATGGAGTCAGCCTCCACCACATCTCTTCCTAATGCATTCCATTTATCCACGCCTCTGACACTAAAAAAGTTCTTTCTAATATCTCTGTGGCTCATTTGGGCACTCAGTTTCCACCTGTGTCCCCTTGTGCGTGTGCCCCGTGTGTTAAATAGCCTGTCTTTATCAACCCTGTCGATTCCCTTGAGAATCTTGAATGTGGTGATCATGTCCCCCCTAACTCTTCTGTCTTCCAACGAAGTGAGGTTTAATTCCCGTAGTCTCTCCTCGTAGCTCATACCTCTCAGCTCGGGTACTAGTCTGGTGGTAAACCTTTGAACCTTTTCCAGTTTAGTCTTATGCTTGACTAGATATGGACTCCATGCTGGAGCCGCATACTCCAGGATTGGTCTGACATACGTGGTATATAATGTTCTGAAAGATTCCTTACACAAGTTTCTAAAGGCCGTTCTTATGTTAGCCAACCTGGCATATGCTGCTGCTGTTATCCTCTTGATATGAGCTTCAGGGGACAGGTCTGGCGACCTGTGTGTGTGTGTGTGTGTGTGTGTGTGTGTGTGTGTGTGTGTGTGTGTGTGTGTGTGTGTGTGTGTGTGTGTGTGTGTTTACTAGTTGTGTTTTTGCGGGGGTTGAGCTTTGCTCTTTCGGCCCGCCTCTCAACTGTCAATCAACTGTTTACTAACTACTTTTTTTTTCCACACCACACACACACACACACACCCCAGGAAGCAGCCCGTGACAGCTGACTAACTCCCAGGTACCTATTTACTGCTAGGTAACAGGGGCACTTAGGTTGAAAGAAACTTTGCCCATTTGTTTCTGCCTCGTGCGGGAATCGAACCCGCGCCACAGAATTACGAGTCCTGCGCGCTATCCACCAGGCTACGAGGCCCCTGTGTGTGTGTGTGTGTGCATATGTGCATGCGTGTGTGCATATGTGCATTCGTGTGTGCATATGTGCGTGCGTGTGTGAATAACGGGCGTGCGTTCGTGCATGCGTGAATGCTTGCGTGTGTGAGTGCGTGCGTTCTTCACCAGTATAGTGCGAATACCATTGAGTGATGGGGATTGAGTAGCGTGAGAGAGAGGGGGGTCGCGTACCATGGGGGTGAGGGAGGGGGGGGGAGGAATGATTCCCATCCAACAACATACCAACCCCAACAACCCATCAAACCTGTCAAGCCAGAGACATGCCAATCGTCAACATTACAATGCTATAGTCTCCACTAATACGTCGCATTTTGAACGCTCTGGTCGGTCCTGTATACAACATGGAAGGTGACAGAACTAGGTAACTGGTTCAATCTGGCCGCGGATCCCTGGAATGGAGCCAAGTGGTGATGGTGGGAAGGGGGGGGAGGGAGGAAGCGTGTATTTCCATTGCAAGGGACAGCATATTTGTCAAGCAGCTTTAAGTATGAATGCATGAGTCGCTGTATGAATGCATGAGTCGCTGTATGAATGCATGAGTTGCTGTATGAATGCACGAGGCGCTGTATGAATGCACGAGGCGCTGTATCAATGCATGAGGCACTGTATGAATGCATGAGGCGCTGTATGAATGCATGAGGCGCTGTATGAATGCATGAGGCGCTGTATGAATGCATGAGACGCTGTATGAATGCATGAGACGCTGTATGAATGCATGAGGCGCTGTATGAATGCATGAGTCGCTGTATGAATGCATGAGTCGCTGTATGAATGCATGAGGCGCTGTATGAATGCATGAGGCGCTGTATGAATGCATGAGGCGCTGTATGAATGCATGAGTCGCTGTATGAATGCACGAGGCGCTGTATGAATGCACGAGGCGCTGTATGAATGCATGAGGCGCTGTATGAATGCATGAGGCGCTGTATGAATACATGAGTCGCTGTATGAATGCGTGAGTCGCTGTATGAATGCATGAGTCGCTGTATGAATGCATGAGTCGCTGTATGAATGCATGAGTCGCTGTATGAATGCATGAGTCGCTGTATGAATGCATGAGTCGCTGTATGAATGCATGAGTCGCTGTATGAATGCATGAGGTGCTGTATGAAGCAATATCCTAACTCAATCTGCAGTTACGATATTGTCCTCGTATCCCAGCTCCTTGTCCTCGTATCCCAGCTCCTTGTCCTCGTATCCCAGCTCTTTGTCCTCGTATCCCAGCTCCTTGTCCTCGTATCCCAGCTCCTTGTCCTCGTATCCCAGCTCCTTGTCCTCGTATCCCAGCTCCTTGTCCTTGTATCCCAGCTCCTTGTCCTCGTATCCCAGCTCCTTGTCCTCGTATCCCAGCTCCTTGTCCTCGTATCCCAGCTCCTTGTCCTCGTATCCCAGCTCCTTGTCCTCGTATCCCAGCTTCTTGTCCTCGTATCCCAGCTCCTTTTCCTCATATCCCAGCTCCTTGTCCTCGTATCCCAGCTTCTTGTCCTCGTATCCCAGCTCCTTTTCCTCATATCCCAGCTCCTTGTCTTTGTATCCCAGCTCCTTGTCCTCGTATCTCAGCTCGTTGTCCTCGTATTCCAGCTCCTTGTCCTCGTATCCCAGCTCCTTTTCCTCGTATCCCAGCTCCTTTTCCTCGTATCCCAGCTCCTTGTCCTCGTATCCCAGCTCTTTGTCCTCGTATCCCAGCTCTTTGTCCTCGTATCCCAGCTCCTTGTCCTCGTATCCCAGCTCCTTGTCCTCGCAAGCTTGCAGAAATACCTCGTTTTCTATTTCAATCCTCTTCGCTTGCCTAGAGGTTGGTACGCCTGACATTGTAATCTTTTGTTTATGTTCAGAACTCCTCAATATCTGGTCACTTTTGAGGCTAAACGGACAGTTGTTCGTATACCCCGAGTGTCGTATCGTGGGAAGTAAGTATCAGTGATCAAACTAACAGCACAAAAACGAGTGAATAAAGTTGGTTTCTGTGGCTAAATAAGACAATGTTTGGGTGACCCAGCGTCGCCTCCTGCTGGGCGCCCTGTGCCTCGTTGTCATGGCAACCCGGCGTACCAACCTTCCCGCTGGGCTCAAGCATTATTTACACTGTGTTTACACATTAAACTTACTTTTTTTATGACAATTAAACAGAGATAACGGTGCCTTTAAATAGATAACGGGTCGCGATTTGTACAACAATGGGTGATAAGCCATAGCTGTCCCCATGGCGCAGTGGTAAAGCACTCACCTAGGGCTTCGCGAGCCATTTGCCTAGGCTCGTATCCTAGCCGATTGACTGGGCGCCATTCCTTGGACCAGTTTCACGAAGCAGTTACGCAAGCACTTACGAACGTGTACATCTTTCCTCAATCTTTGACGGCTTTGGTTACATTTATTAAACAGTTTACAAGCATGAAAAACTTGCCAATCAACTGTTGTTATTGTTATAAACAGCCTCCTGGTGCTTCGGAGCTCATTAACTGTTTGATTATTTTAAACAAAGTCGCCAAAGATTGAGAAAAGATGTACAGGTTCGTAAGTGCTTGCGTAACTGCTTCGTGAATCTGACCCCTTATCTGTAGCCTCTGTCCACCCAGCAGTGAATGGGTACCTGGTTGTTAAACGATTTGGCAAGTCGTATTCCAAGGGAAAATAGGATTAAGGACCTGCCCGGAAACGCTATGCTTGTTAGTGGCTGTACAAGACTGTAAACACGCTTGCATGGATTAAATTGCCCTACTGATAGCGTAGTTTGCTTTCTATCTCTACAGGTGTGTACTGCTGTACATGACCTGTACAAGTACCGCTTGTTCAACGCAGGCCAGAGGTGTTTCCTTTGAGTTCTGACTTCAGAAAAGGTTTATTCATCTTTCCATCCTCTTATAGAAAACGGAAGGTCTCCCTTGCAGGGTACGAAAGGTTATTCTCAGAAAGTACAGGATCGCCCCAGGGATACGGTAGGTTATTTCACACACTCGGAAGGTTATCTTTTATTTCCTGGAGGGAGGGAACTATCATTGGGAAAGCGCCAAGTCATTACGACTATATAGCACTGGGAAAGGGGTCAGGATAAGGATTTGGGATGGGACGGGGGGAAGGAATGGTGCCCAACCACTTGTGGACGGTCGGGGATTGAACTTCGATCTGCATGAAGCGAGACCGTCGCTCTACCGTCCAGCCCAAGTGAACGAGCCCACCTGTACTACCGGGGGACCTGCTCTGGCACTCCCTAATACTTGTACCTCAAAGCACTTGCTTTGGTATCCTTTGGAAGGATACCAAAGTCTTTCCGACAGTCATGGAAGATGCAGCGCACCCATCGCTCTCCATCTTACCTTCGAGCGCAGTGTCGATGAGTTATGTGAGTCTCGTTAAACATGACTCCTCTGAATGTGTTGCTTCACAGTTCAACAAATCACACCTCACCAGTAGTGTGTTTGTGGCTGAGTTACGCTACAATTATTCTCATCTTTGCATATAATAACTATATTTTTGGGGGGAGTGGGAGCTTGGCCTCTCTGCCTGACGTGAATATTAAAATGGATGTGACTGGAATGTTGACCAGACCACACACTAGAAGTTGAAGGGACGACGACGTTTCGGTCCGTCCTGGACCATTCTCAAGTCGATTCACAATCGACTTGAGAATGGTCCAGGGCGGACCGAAACGTCGTCGTCCCTTCACCTTCTAGTGTGTGGTCTGGTCAACATACTTCAGCCACGTTATTGTGACTCATCGCCTGCATGTGACTGGAATGTTGTGTGAATGTCGTTAGCCCTCAGCCCCCACTTGTTTGGGTGAGGAGGAACAATGGGCTTTGGCAGAAAGGCTGAAATAGGCTTAGAGCCCATTTCTGCTTGGGCTCTATAAGGCTCTATCCGGCTCGCTAAGTGTTACTCATTTTAGTCTTTCTCGGCGGATGAGTATTTATGACTCGTATGTTGGCTTCAGTAAAGTTATGTCCGCTGAGTTGAACAAATTATGCGTTGTTAGTTATTAGTTGATATCTTATTTGGTTTGTTAATCTGCTCTGTGGTAGACTGTGTTCCAGTGGTCTGTTTGTGCTGTAACTACACTGTGATAGACAGTGTTCTAGTGGTCTGTTTGTGCTGTTACTACACAGTGATAGACAGTGTTCCAGTGGTCTGTTTGTGCTGTAACTACACTGTGGTAGACTGTGTTCCAGTGGTCTGTTTGTGCTGTAACTACACTGTGGTAGACTGTGTTCCAGTGGTCTGTTTGTGCTGTAACTACACTGTGATAGACAGTGTTCTAGTGGTCTGTTTGTGCTGTAACTCTGCACTGTGATAGACAGTGTTCCAGTGGTCTGTTTGTGCTGTAACTACACAGTGATAGACAGTGTTCCAGTGGTCTGTGCTGTAACTACACAGTGATAGACAGTGTTCCAGTGGTCTGTTTGTGCTGTAACTACACTGTGATAGACAGTGTTCCAGTGGTCTGTTTGTGCTGTAACTACACTGTGATAGACAGTGTTCCAGTGGTCTGTTTGTGCTGTAACTCTGCACTGTGATAGACAGTGTTCCAGTGGTCTGTTTGTGCTGTAACTACACTGTGATAGACAGTGTTCCAGTGGTCTGTTTGTGCTGTAACTACACTGTGATAGACAGTGTTCCAGTGGTCTGTTTGTGCTGTTACTACACAGTGATAGACAGTGTTCCAGTGGTCTGTTTGTGCTGTAACTCTGCACTGTGATAGACAGTGTTCCAGTGGTCTGTTTGTGCTGTAACTCTGCACTGTGATAGACAGTGTTCCAGTGGTCTGTTTGTGCTGTAACTACACAGTGATAGTGTTCCAGTGGTCTGTTTGTGCTGTAACTCTGCACTGTAATAGACAGTGTTCCAGTGGTCTGTGCTGTAACTACACAGTGATAGACAGTGTTCCAGTGGTCTGTTTGTGCTGTAACTACACTGTGATAGACAGTGTTCCAGTGGTCTGTGCTGTAACTACACAGTGATAGACAGTGTTCCAGTGGTCTGTTTGTGCTGTAACTACACTGTGATAGACAGTGTCCCAGTGGTCTGTTTGTACTGTAACTACACTGTGATAGACAGTGTTCCAGTGGTCTGTTTGTGCTGTAACTGCACTGTGATAGACAGTGTTCCAGTGGTCTGTGCTGTAACTACACAGTGATAGACAGTGTTCCAGTGGTCTGTTTGTGCTGTAACTACACAGTGATAGACAGTGTTCCAGTGGTGTATCAGAGTGACCACTGTATATAGAGAGGAAATGTCTCCACAATGCAAACATTTCCTCACTCCAAGAACCTGTATATCTGTTTACATTGGTCATGGGTAAATCCCCCCCCCCCCGGCCAGGTGCCAATTAGTGCCCGCTTATCTTAGTGTCTCTCTCTCTCTCTCTCTCTCTCTCTCTCTCTCTCTCTCTCTCTCTCTCTCTCTCTCTCTCTCTCTCTCTCTCTCTCTCTCTCTCTCTCTCTCTCTCTCTCTCGTCATTTCCGTTTTGGGATTTTTTCCATATTTGAGAATTTGAATTAAATTAAGATCTGTGGAGGAGAGACTTGAGCCCGCCAGGGGGCGCCTAGCTTCATATAAATATATAAATAAAAGGGGGGGGGATTTAGGTAGTGATCATTATTGAACTTTCTGATGATTAATGGCAGTATTGTTGAACATTCTGATGATTAATGGCAGTATTGTTGAACATTAATGATTATTTGTTGTATTGTTGAACATTCTGATGATTAATGGTTGTATTGTTGAACATTCTGATGATTAATGGTTCTATTGTTGAACATTCTGATGATTAATGGCTGCCGTTTTGAACTTTCTGATGGTGATTGCATTGCAAGTGAACATGAAAACGAGAACCGCGTTGAACAACAACAAGTTCAACGTAACTGTTCATTCACTAATTTTTGCCTTTTTAGAGAATGTTGCTAGCTCTGTTTATATATATATATATATATATATATATATATATATATATATATATATATAAATATATATATATATATATATATATATATATATATATATATATATATATATATATAAAATATATATATATATATATATATATATATATATATATATATATATATATATATATATATATATAAAAGCAAGGCCTAATTTGCCTAACAAACAGGGTATTATCGTTATTTTCAAATATATCTTTCCAAATGAATTACTTGAATTAAGATAGATTAGGATAGGTTATGTAGGTTAGGTTTGATCAAATTTCTATGTAACTTTCAACTCAGTTGTAATAAAATTCAAATAATATATAATTGAAAGCTTAATTATTCGATAAGAAAAATGTTTTGACAAAAATTCCCATGAAAATTCAGCTTGTGATAGATGTTGTTGTTTAAGATTCGCAACCTGGAACACAAAGTTCCAAGTAGCACGGGCTATGGCGAGCCCGTGCTACACACGCATAAGAGACGTGTGTGTTCTTAAGAAATGAAAGTGGTGGTGGGGGGTTAAGGTGTCAGTAGGCTAGATACACAATAATAAAAGGCGTCAACAAAAGGTGTTGGAGAAAGGGGTTCATGAACTCTTGATATAAACACCTCCAACCTTTGAGGAGACGGCCACCACTGTCGCTACGGCGCCTTGTAGGGGCAGGTGGCGTAGCTTGTAAGGCTGAAACCACCTCACCTGGAGACCTACCTGAAGGGAACCTCGTCTAGACCTCCTAGGGAGAGAGATCTGAAGGTAGTCTGGCGAAGGTGGTCTGGGGGATGGATTGAATAGCTAGATTAGTGTTAGGTTGATGGGGCAATAGCCGGTTATGTTCGCTTTCATCCATCTCTGCTTCATCTCCTACTTGTCCAGCATTGGTGAAATGTGTACTAACGGAGGCTAAAGATTAGACAATTATTATCTGCGTGGCGCCAGTGACCTGTTTGTTCTGGCACAAGTTAAAATATTCAACACACGGCGTCCCAGATATGAAAATGTCGAAGAGTGAGGCACTTAAGAGTAGGAAGACTCGTGTCAGTACGACTTTACGGCACTTGTAAGGAGGATATAAGTGGGAAGGAGCTGGGGTATGAGGACAAGGATCTGGGGTATGAGGACAAGGAGCTGGGGTATGAGGACAAGAAGCTGGGGTATGAGGACAAGGATCTGGGGTATGAGGACAAGGAGCTGGGATATGAGGACAAGGAGCTGGGGTATGAGGACAAGAAGCTGGGATATGAGGACAAGGAGCTGGAGAATGAGAACAAGAATCTGAAGTATGAGGACAAGGAGCTGGGATATGAGGACAAGGAGCTGG